GCCACAACGGGGGCAAGCAGAGCTGCCTATAGAGATTCTCGGGAGGCCTCTTCCGCAGCGTCCGAAATCATGTTCCCCGGAGCCCCTATAGGAACATGATTTCGGGGTTCCCAGGACGCCCAAGGGGGCCCTAAGACGGCCCCGACAAGTCCCAAAAGGACGCTCGAGAAAACCCGAGGGACACAGTTCGTTGATTTCCGCGACATGTGGTTGGATTTCTTGCACGCGGAGGCGGTGGAGGAGGAGGAGGAGGAACAGGAAAGGAGGAAGAGGAGATGGGCGAGGAGGAGGGGGAGGAGGAAGAGGAGGACGAGGGGGGGAGGAGGGGGGTGGAGAGGGAAGGGGGGGGGGGGAGGAGGAGGGAAGAGGGATGGATGATTGATATTGATGATGATGATTGATGATGATGATGACGGGGAGGAAGGGGGAGGGGGGGAGGAGGAGGAGCAGGGAGGAGGAGGAGGGGCGGAGGAAGGAGGAGGATGAGCGGAGGACGAGGAGGGGGGGGAGGAGGAGGGGAAGGAGGAGGAGGAGGAGGAGGAGGAGAAGGACGAGGAGGGGGAGGAGGAGGGGAGGAAGGGGGGGGCGGAGGAGGAGGAGCAGGAGGAGGGGGGGGGGATGTGGAGGAAGAGGAGAAAAGGAGGAGGAAGAGCAAGAGGGAGGCCTCCCCCGAGTGTTCCATGTATCCGATGTGGCCCAATGCTTGCGCGGCGTCGCAGTGCCGTTTGGCGAACCATGTAGTCCGAACAGGAGGAGGAGGAGGAGCAGGAACAGGAGGAGTGAGAGGAGGAGGAGGGGGAAGAGGAGGAGGAGGAGGACGGAGGAGGAGGCGGAGGAGGAGGAGGAGGAAGAGGAGGAGGAGGAGGAGGAGAAGAGGAGGAGGGAGAGGAGGAGGAGGAGGAACATGATGAAGATGATGATGGTGATGGTGATGGTGATGATGATGATGATGACGATGATGATTGATGATGATGGATGAGGAGGAGGAGGAGGAGGAGGAGGAGGTGTGGAGGAGGAGGAGGAGGAGGAGGAGGAGGAGGAGGAGGGAAAGTAGGGAGAAGGAGGAGGAGAAGGAGGAGGAGGAAGAGGAGAAGGGTGAGGAGGAGGGAAAGGAGGAGGAGGGGAGGAAGGGGGCGGAGGAGGAGGAAGGGGGGAAAGGAGGGGGCGATGGGGGAAGGAGGAAGAGTAGGAGGAGAGGAGGAAGAGCAGGGGGAAAGAGGAGGACGAGGAAGAGGTGTCGTTTTCGGCCGCCTCGGGCCGCCTGGGGGTGAGGAGCGCCCAAAAGCTCTTCGAACCGCGACCGCGAAACTCGACGAATAACCGAAGTGCATTCAGCCTTCAACCTCCTCGTCCGTTGTTTGGCCGTTGCCCCGGGCGAAGCTAGAACCTAAGCGCGCGCGTAGCGCGCGCGTGGTTCTTGTTTATATATATATATATATGTATATACACACACACACACACACACAACGGCGCACCGGGTCCAGGCGCCCGGGGCCGGCGCCGCTACCGCAAATGGGCTCTGGGGCCCTCGGGGAGCCCCGGGGCTTCACAGAAAGCCGCCAGAAGGCGCCAAGGAGGCCCCAAGAGGCTCCAGAACAGACCCGGGGCGCCCGAAGGTCGCTCCCAGACGCCCAACATGGCCTCCAAGGCGGCTTCAAAAGCCCTTGCAAGACACCCCCAAGCGACCCCCAATAGGACCCCAAACAGAGCCCCAAGGGGCCAAAATAAACCCATTCCCTTTTGTAAAATGTATATTTTTAACATATCGTTTGTTTTCGCATTCGGTCCGTGCTTGACGACCTCAGAAGCTCCCAAGACCGCCCCAATACATCCCAGGACGCGCCCCAGAGGGCCCCAATACAGCCCCAGAAAGCTCCAGGACGGCCCACGAAGGGCCCAAGACGGCCCAAGAGAGTCCCCAAGACGGGCCCGAGAGGGCCCCAGAGGAGGAAAGCCACCATCGAATTCCAAGCTTTCGACCCCAAGTGGCTCCAGGAGGCGCCGAGAAGCCCCCAAGAAGCGCCCGGAAGCTCCCAAAAGCACCCCAAGACGCTCCAAGAGGCACCCCAAGAGAGCTCCAAGAAGCAACAATCGTCCCATTCCTGTTGGAAAACGTATATTTTTCGTATGTTCGCCTGTTGGGCTGTCATCGCGTCCAAGACGGCCCAAGGGGTTCCCAAGACGGCCTATATATATATATATGTATATATATCGCCTCTATATACATATATATATATATATATATATATATATATATATGTATATATACACATATACATATACATATACATATACACATACATATACATATAACGGCGCACGGGGTCCGGGGGCCCGGGGCCGCGACCACGACCACAAATGTGTGTGCCCAGTCTCTTGGGGCGTCCCTGAGGCCTTCAAAACGCCCCGGGAACGCGCCAAGAGAACCCGAAGACGCCCCAAGACGGACCCAAGACACCCAAAGGCCGCTCCAAGATGCCCAAGATGGCCCCCAAGACACCTCCAAAGGCCTCGCAAACGCTCCTAAGCAGCTTCCGAGAGGCCCCCCAGGACGTCCCCAAGAGGCAAAGATTGCTTCATTCCCTTTTCAAAACGTGTATGTTTAGCATATTATTGTTTTCGCTGTCGTACCGTTCTTGATGACATCAGAGGTCCCCAAGACCGCCCCAAGACGGCCCAAGAGGCGCCCCCGAGGGCCCCAAGACGGCCCAAAAGAGCCCCAGGACGGCCCAAGAGGCGCCCCAGACGGCCCAAACGGGGCCCCAAAGGCGCCCAAGAGAAGCCCAAGATTGGGAAATCCAAGCGACAATTTGAGCTTTCCGCCAAAAGAGGCGCCCGGGAGGCCCCAAGAGGCCCCGAAGACGCCCCAAGATGCCTCCAAGAGGCCACCCAGACGCCGCAAGAAGGCCCCACGAGGACCCCCGAGAGAGCCCTGAGAGCCGAACACTGTTTATGTTCCGTAGATGTTCGAAGGATTTTGGTCATCTCGCCTTCTCGGGTTCCCGACGCTCGAAAACAGCCCAAGAGGCCCCCAAGATCGACCCGAGGAAGCCAGATTGATTTTGTCTCAGGCTGGCAGCCACGTCTGCCGGCGTGCCCTGCACCACCCTCCGTTGCAGGTGTTCATCCCAGGTAAAGTCCTGGGTTCAGAATGCGTCGAGGTTCAGTTTCATTGCTGGCGTTCGAATGTTCAGAAAGGGAATTGGTCGGCGCCTCAGTATGTGCGCCGTTCGCGCCAAGGCGCGTCAGGCTGCAATGCTGGCTTGCAGGTGACGTCCGCCTGCGGTCAGCCCAGTGAATTCGATGTATTTCTTTACTTTCAAGAGCTGGTCGCTCCACCTTGCGCGCACCTTTGGGCCCCACGAGGGACTCCAGAACGGAAGCCCGAACCGACCATTCGAGCTTTCTGCCCCAAGAAGCCCCGAACAATCCCGGAAGAGGCCCACAAGACGCCACAAGAAGGCTCCAGGAGGACTCCCAACATAGCCCCGAGAGCCCAAATTCGTTGATTTTCTGTGTGTCTTTTGAAGGACTTCGCCCTTCTGGCCTTGTCGGCTTCCCCAATCTCCATGCCGGCTCAAGGGGTCAACAAGACCACCCCGAAACAGCCCGAGAAGCCCCCAAGAGAAGCCCAAATACGGCCAGGAGGGCCCCAAGACGGCCTACGAGCCGCCTCAGACGGCCCAGGAGGGCCCCAACACGGCCCCAAGAGAGGCCCAATATGGGGGAGCCCGAACCGACAATTGGAGCCTTCCACTTCAAGAGGCCTCCCAGGAGGGCCCAATATATTTCCAAGAGGCCCCGAGAGGCCCCCGAGAGGCCCCAGGACGGCCGATGACGTTCGACGTACGCCGTACGACGAGATCCTCGCGGTTTGGTTGAAGTCCCTCAAGGAGCATCAGAAGAGGCAGTCGTCAGGTGGACCCTGGAGAGTCCTTCCGTAGCCGATGTCGGTTGAACTGTTCCTCCTCCCCTCCTGCTCCCCCTTCTCCTCCTCCTCCCCCTCCTCCTCCGCCTCCCCTCTCGCTCCCATCGCCTTCTGTTCCTGCCCCTGCTGCGCTTACTCGTTTGGACCCGGGGAGGGGTCTAGGGATCCGCTACAGGAGACGAAGACGACGACGACGACGACGACGACGACGACGACGACATGACGACATGACGACGACGACGCCGACGACGATGACGACGACGACGACGACGACGACGACGACGACGACGACGACGACGACGGCACGCCTCACCAGGCTCCTCAAGACGCCCCCAAACCCATGCTCCCAGAAGGCCTCCTGGGAACCCGATTGATACGGCTTCCGCCCCCCTAGACAACCATTTCTTCGAAGGCCTTTCGGAATGCAGATTGGCATGCGTGGACTGTGGTCCACTACTTCAGTGGAGCAGTGAATTCGTCAAGGCCTGGGGTCTGCTAGAACCTGAGCGCGCGCGAAGCGCGCGCGATGGTTCTAGTATATATATATATATATATATATTATATATATATATATATTCTATAAAATAGTCGAAACATGGTATTGGGACGATGTTGGAGTATTATTGAATATTGTTGTTACTTTTTTTTGCTATGTTGAATTTGTTCTTCCAAAATCCGCCAGTAGGGGGACATGCCCGAACTAAGGGTATCGCCTTGTGCCCGGTTGGTGCCCGGTTGGTGCCCGGCGGCCGCAGGGCTCGCACCAAATGGCCCACATCGCACAGCTTGCACCACCCAGCTTGCTCCACATCGCTTGCACCACATAGCCTGCACCGCACAGCGTGCACCACGCAGATGTGCATCACGCAGCCAGCTTTCGGTGCCACTTTGGTGCCCCTGAGGCCCTCGTGGGCCTCGCAAGGGTTTCTCTGGAGGCCGTCTGTCCACGACGCGAGGAGATGGAGGAGGGCGACGATGACGACGACGACGACGACGGCGACGACGCCGACGCCGCCGACAGCGATGGCGACGGCGAGGAGGGCGCGGCGTCGGGCGGCCTTGTACCTCGCAGGCGATGCCGCCAGCAACGCCGGCGACAGCGTCGCTGCAGACGGCGGCGCCGTGCCGCAGCCAAGGCGGGCGTCTCAGGACCGCGTGCCTGGCACGTCTCCAGGCCTTACTCGGCGGTTCGCCGAGGGGGGAAGTGAAAGGGGGGCAGGCCTTCTCAGAAGGCGGCGGGGCTTCTCAGAAGCCCTCTGGCCGTCTACGAAGCAGCCATTGCCTTGAGGGAAGGCGGAGACAACTCTCAGAAGGCCGAAGGCTCACCCCCTCTGGCTTCCCCCCTTGGCGTGCCTCCGACACTGACGGGGGACAGAATATAGGCTTGGTGGATCTGACCGCATCGTTGGCATCAGCGACGCGGCGACATCCCAGAGTGCGAACGACAGCGCATACATATATTTGGACACATGCACGTGCATATGCATATATGTATGAGTATACATACACACATGTGCACTTCTACAGCTACTACCACACATATCTACATATGCACTTGCATGTACAGTTTTGCACACATACACAGACACATCGGATTGAAGGGGCCGAACAGTCATTCACTGTCCCTGGGTGCATGGCTGAAGTTGAGTTCCGCGGTGCAGATTGTTGTTGCGTCGTCGTTGTTGTTGTTGGTTGTGGTTTTGGTGTTGGTGTTGTTGCTGTTGCTATTAGTATTGTTATTGGGGGGTGGTGTTGTTGGTGTTGGTGCTGTTGTTGATGGTGTGGTTGCTGTTGTGCTGGTTGGTGTTGTTGTTCGTGCTGGTGTTGTTGTTAGTGTTGCTGTTGTTGATGTTGCTGTTGTTGTTGTTGGTGTTGTTGTTGTAGTTGTTGATGTTGTTGTTGTTGTTAATATTGTGGTTGTTTTTGTTGTTGTTGTTGTGGTTGTGGTGGTTGTTGTTGTCGTTGTCGTTGTCGTTGTCGTTGTCGTTGTTGTTGTTGTTATTGTTGTTGTTGTTGTTGTTGTTGGTGTTGGTGTGGTTGTTGTTGTTGTTGTTGTTGTTGTTGTTGTTGTTGTTGTTGTTGTTGTTGTTGTTGTTGTTGTTGTTGTTGTTGTTGTTGACGAAAACACTCACTGGCGCCCGGCCGACCCCCCCCCCCAGCAACAGCAACAGAGCAACACAGGAGAACCTCGAGAGCGTTTTGGGCTTCCTGGAGGGCCTCTACCGCCTCCTGGAGCGCCTCTAGGGCCTCCTGGGGAGCTTGTGGGACCTCCTGGCGAGTGTCTCGGGCTTCGTGGAGAGCGTCTTGGGCCTCCTTGAGCGCGTCTTGGGCCTCCTGGAGCGCCTCTGTGGCCTCCTGGAGCGCGTCTTGGGCCCGGAGCGACTCTGGGGCCTCCTGGAGAGCGTTTTGGGCTTCCTGGAACGCCTCTGGCGCCTCCTGGAGCGCCTCTGAGGCCTCCTGGGGAGCCTCTGGGGCCTCCTGGAGAGCGTCTTGGGTTTCCTGGCGAGCGTTTTCGGCATCCTGGGGCGCGTCTTGGGCCTCCTGGAGCGCCTCTAAGGCCTCCTGGAGCGCCTCTGGGGCCTCCTGAGGAGCCTCTTGGGCCTCCCGGAGATCGTCTTAGGCCTCCTGGAGAGCCTTTGGGGCCTCCTGGGGAACGTTTTGGGCCTCCTGGAACGCCTCTGGGGTTTCCTGGGGAACGTATTGGGCCTCCTGGAGAGCCTCTGGGGCCTCCTGGGGAGCCTCTGCGGCCTCCTGGAGCACGTCTTGACCTGTGATGTATGCAGGCACGTTTGCGCACACGGGCGTTGTGTTGTACGTGAGTGCCTCCCTCTCCCCCTCCCTCGTCGCCGCCGTCGCCGTCGCCGTCGCCGTCGCCGCTGCCGCCGCTGTCGCCGCCACCTTCGCTGCGCCAGCGCGTGGGTATTGAGGACGCGGATGCGAACGGGGAGGAGGGTAGGGAGGAGGAGGAGGAAGGGGAGGAGCAGGGGCAGGAGCATGAGGGGGATCAGAAGCATTATATTGATGATGATACTGATGATGATACTGGTGATGGTTGTGGTGATGGTGATGGTGATGGTGATGATGATGATGATGATGATGATGACCATGATGATGATGATGATGATGATGATGATGATGATGATGATGATGATGATGATGATGATGATGATGATGATGATGATGGTGTTGATGTTGATAATGATGATGATGATTATGATGGTGGTGGTGGTGATGATGATGATAACGACGGTATTGCTGGTGATGGTGATGATGAGGACGTCGATGGGGATTGGTACGTTGACGAGTGGGGGCAGGAAGAGGAGAATAAGGAGGACGAGGACGAGAACGACGAGGGCGGACAGGAGGACGGATGGAGAGAGGGAGGGAGGAGGTGGACGAGGAGGAGGAGGAAGAGGAGGAGGACGAGGATGACGACGACGGTGACGCCGATAACAATGACGACGATAGGACGATACGATGAAGGAAACGGAGGAGGAGGAGGAGTAGGATGATGATGATGATGCTGATGATGATGATGCTGATGATGATGATGATGATGATGATGCTGAGGAGGAGGAGGAGGAGGAGGAGGAGGAGGAGGACGCCCTCCCAGACATTCGATGTCGTGATGTTTGTCAATACGGGGTCCCTGGAGGCTTCGACAACTTCCTAGGGCGTGGTATTTCATCCAGAGTTGGCTTTTGACGGTCCTGGAGCCCGGAAAAGGCCTCTAGAGGCCGAGAGGTGCGTTGCCTCCCTCTCCCCCTACCTCGTCGCCGTCGTCGCCGTCGCCGTCGCGTCTGCCGCCGCCGTCGCCGCCACCGTCGGCGCGCCCGCGCGCGGGAAGAAGGCGGCGGGAAGAACTCGCAGCCGGGTGGTCGGCGTACCTGGTCTCCCGCTAGCCGCGCTCGCGCACCAGGTTGAGGGCTGAGCAGGGGGGGCGAGGGGGGGGTGGAGGTGGAGGAGCAGGGCGCGGAGGAGGAGGAGGAGCAGGAGGAGAAGGAGGAGGGGGTGGACGAGGAGGAGGAAAAGGGGGGAGGAGGAGTGGGAGGAAGAGGAGAGGAGGAGGAGGAGGGGAGGTGGAGGAGAGGAGAGGAGGAGGAGGAGGAGGAGGAGGAGGAGGAGGGGGAGGTGGATGAGGGGAGAGGAGGAGGGGGGAGGAGGAGGAAGAGGAGGAGGAGGAGGAAGAGGAGGAGGAGGAGGAGGAGGATTGTGCTAGGATTGTGCTACTTAGGACTTACGAAGATGGAGGGCACCACGCAGGCCGCCTCACGCCTTGCAAGCCGTACTTACATAGGCGTTCCTGGTGAATGGCCGCGCTCCCATAACGAATCAGTCTACCCTTGGCCGTTCCCGTTCGGGATGGTGGATACCTCGTTCACAATGCCGTCCACTTACACTGACCCGCGCGGCAGCCTCGCCAGTGAGGGTGCCCCTTCGGGCTGCTCTCGAAGCCGCTCGGGGCCCTCCTGGCCGGTCTTTGGCAGTCCTCGGGCTCTTTGGGCCGTCGTGGATATCACCGCTTCACGTGGCCCTGTCCGGGCGGGGCTAGGACGAGGATACTCCGTTCCAGAGCGTTCTGAAATGCTTCCAGAGCGTTCCGGAGCGCTCTGAGAAGGCCGCGGCAACCGAGACATATTCCAGAGCCGCCAGATCCCAGATATTCTCGGTTTATCCTCGCACGATGTTATCCTCGTCCTGGTATCGTCGTAACTCTGGGCACGAGTCTTTTGCAATGGCCTTACCCTTGGCGGCCCCAAGGGGTGCCCAAGTGCCGCGCCTGCTATCATTTTGGCGACCTTGTTCGGCCAAAATTCGTATTCTTGGCCTCGGTGCGTGCACAGACGTTCGCGCACGCTGCCTGCACCGCGGATGCAGAGCGGGGCGCGACGTCGCAGGTCGCGCAAATCCAGCCATCGTGCCGCCGGGGGGCAGGCTTCCTAGGAACACCCCTGCTTCCCAGGGGGCGCGGGCCTCGTCTGAAAGTGAAAGGCCGGGCGCCTTCTAACTAAGGAGCAGCCTCCTCCTAAGAAGCCTTCCCCCTCCCTCTACCTCCCCGTGCGCGCCGCCAACCAGGGCGGGACACCCCAAACGGCCTCGGCTCGCTGCGTGTGTTCTCGCGGCAGGCCAGACTGGACCAGTCCATCCTAGGCCTCCCAATTGGGGTCCGAGCAGCTGGTGTCGAAGGATCTTCCCGCATCGTCGATGCATCAGCGATGCGGCTCGATGTCGATGTCGCCGATGCGGCGTCGAGGTCAACGATGCATTGCTGATGACTCGGCGATGTGGCGCGATCCTCCGACCCCATCTACTCAGACCCCATCTGGGAGGCCCCTCGCGCGGGTGGTCAGACTGTGCCAGCTCATCCGAGCCGCAATCTCTGTTGTGGCTTCGCGAGGAGGAGGAGGAGGAAGAGGAAGAGGAGGAGGAGGCTCGGAGGAGGGGAGGAGGAGGAGGAGGAGGAGGAGGAGGAGGAGGAGGAGGAGGAGGAGGAGGAGGAGGAGGTGGAGGAGGAGGAGGAGGGGGAGGGGGAGGGGGAGGAGGAGGAGGAGGAGGAGGAGGAGGAGGGGAGGAGGAGGAGGAGGAGAGGAGGAGGGAGGAGGAGGAGGAGGAGGAGGAGGAGGAGGAGGAGGAGGGGGAGGGGGAGGTAGGAGGAGGAGAGGAGGAGGAGGAGGAGGAGGAGGAAGAGGAGGAGGAGGAGGGAGGAGGTGGGGAGGAGAGGAGGAGGGAGGCAGGAGGAGGAGGAGGATGAGGATGGGAGGATGCGGATGAGGATGGGGAGGAGGAGGAGGAGGAGGAGGAGAGGAGGAGGAGGAGGAGGAGGAGGAGGAGGAGGAGGAGGAGGAGGAGGAGGAGGAGGAGGAGTGGGTGCTGTCGCCCGGGGCCGCCGTGGAGAGAAGCATGCGTGGGCGACGCCGGCGCCTTCGGCGTACGGCACGCCCCAGCAGGGGCGGGTAGGCCACGCAACTTCTTTCGCGGCGGATCGAACCGGAGCCGCTCGGCTCCTGCGTGGAAGGCGCCATCCTGGCGCCCAATTCTCAGAGAAGGAAGGGCGTCGACGGAGGGTATCATGTTTTTGATTGATGTGATTTGCCCCAAGTCCGACTGTAGTGAAGCCCGCATGGGTTGTGGCAGCGTTGTTGCCGCAC